TTCATGTCCATTTAATATGCAGAAGATATGCTTCTAAGTTTTCTGTTTCTGGGTCACCACCTGTACATTCTTTTCTTGCTAAATTGCACACAATACAATGAACCAGATTCTACCCATTTTTATTGTATTTGTTATATAGCTACACAATCTTCTTATTTAAAGGGAGAAATGGACTGTACTTTTGTATGGTTAATTGCATGCATTGTAAATTTCAGAAAAGTAGTTTATTTTTCATACTTAATGAAAATAATAATGGGAAATAAATTCATATTCATATGCAATGCACATTGAGAATATTTAATTTCTATTGTGGTAGGAGGGTGCATTATTTGTTTCTAGCACAATGAATACAACCTACATATTTTTCTAGCTCAAAGCAACTTGACTCCGTCCTTATCCCTCTTCTGTGTTATTCAATAACTCTCAAATTTAAATTCAAAAAGGAGTCAAATGAAAAGACATGTACCTACCACAGTTAAGTCCACTCAGAAAATTTTCAAATCAAACCAATATTCTGGCAATGAGTTAAATTAACATAAAGCATCATTTACATGAGTGTTGTGAATGTTTCCTTTCCATACTGATAATAGAAAATTTAAAAAAAATTACTTCATCAATTGTAAATAAATATTACAATTAAATATTACCTTTCTTAGGTTTATTGTCTCTGGGATGAAAACTAGTTCTGTACCTGCCTGATATTCTATTCACAATGATGTCTTAGTTCTGGCCAGGATTTCTGAAGTCTATCTTAGATAAAACTCCAGTTTATGTACTTTTGAATGAAGCTTAGTTAGCTGACTGGAGAAAATTGCAGAAAAGGACTTTCATAAATTTTTTAATGTCGAGCTCTTAAAGTTCAGTTTTAAGAATTTACTAAGCATCATTCTGGTACAAGATCCTTTGAAAATCTTGCAGAACAGAATGGTGTTAAGAGAAATAACATGTCAATATAGTTGAAAGAATAAAAAAAAAAGGAAAAGGGGTGTGAACTTAGCATCAACTACTGGGATACAGTAGGTATTTCTTTCTATTGTTAATAATAAATATTTGTATGTGCATCCCTAATATAGCATGATGTTGAATTTCATTAAATTTCTTCATTAATTCATGTTTTTAAAATATTTTCAGTTTTTATTAGAAGTGCCCTGTGATAGAGTCAGTTTTGCTGTCTTTATGCAAAATTTTGGTGAACAAATACACAAAATATAGATTTTGTCTTAAAAAACAGTTTTATGGTTACCTAAAATAAAATAAAAATGTGGAAATAAATAAATAGTCACTTTTCTTGGAAGTCATTTTGTTTTCAAGTCATTTGGAAAGGAAAGATGGGCTGACTTACTTTTTATAAAATACATGGTACAAGCCGGATCACTGTCATCTCTTTCTCCTAAAATTAGTGCCTTGAATCTTTATACAGTTGGACATACAAGTATTTGGAGCAGTCTTTGTGGTTTCACTCCATCTTGTTGACAAGTAATCATTGTTTGAACAATGTAGTCTCACTGAAGTGAACCACTTTGAAGTGGTTGCTTGTATAAAAAGAGGGTGTGAAGCAGAATCAGATTCCTGCCTACGGTAGCATTTTGATATTTTAGATCATACTCTATCATTTCTACCTCCCCTTCAGTAAATTATTACTTAATTCAATAATTGCTTAGTTTGTGTTTAAAAATATTGAAGCTAGATATTCAGCCAGGCATTTCCATCCATTTTAACTTAAGATGTAGAGTTAAATCCTCCACATTTTAAAAAAATATCAGTCCATACACGTCTGCCCCATTTCTTAAATGAAATTAAGATGTGCACAGCAGTGATGATGGATTCAAGTTATTAAAGCAAATGTTTTACTGTAATGCAGTGAAGTATTATCGTAAGTACCATTTGTTTCTAATTTCCTCTTGATGTGAGGTTGTTATTTGGCACATTCTGCTACTTGCAATCTGTCCTTGCCTATCTTTTTCTTTCCAAATGTAAACTGAGTTTGAAATCAAATCAAACAGTACTGAAATAACTCTACTGTGACACGACTGTTGTCTAACAATTCTAGATGCAGTGAGCTGTCTAACAGAAAACACATGTTGACACCATTGTTGGCTCTATGTGTGTCTTCACTGGTAGAATAAAATTTGTATGTTGACCTTCCAGTGTTGGCAAAAAATTACTCTTTCAAGGATATTATTATTAATTATAATCCGAAAGTTCTGCTGTTTGACTCTATTTATTTCTTCTCTCTGTTGTCTATGTACAATTATCAGGGCTATCTCCAGGAATTCAAGAAAAGACACAAGCAAAAGCTGAAAATAGCATAAGTGTGTGATAGAAATGTGTCTGTGAATACAAGCTGGTTATTCAAGAATTGAAGAGAATAGTGGATTTTAATTTCCCTGTTTACAGTAAGCAAACTGGATCTACCTTCATTGCCAAATTTCTAAGTAATCTTACCACAAAATGTCATGCAATAAAATTCTTGCAATTTTTTAATATATTTTGCTGTAAACATAAACCAAATGTTTCCACGGAAACTAGACATTTTCCCAATTGTATACAATTTTTCTAGCTTCTTGGTAGGAAAAGAGAGTTCTAATTTAAATTTTATACATTTTGATGGCAGCTGAGAATTGATACCTAATTTTCTGATAGCATAGCTCAAAGCCACACTTACATACCTTACTGTGTATGTTCAATATATCTTTTTGCTCTAACAGAAAGAAGCAAGCTGGCATAAAATTTATTATACTGTTAAAAATATTAACCTAAATAGAAGTACAGATGACACCATTATGCAAAGCAGAGAATACAAATTAGTTTATGTGCATCAGGGAAAAAAAAAATCTCCAACATCTGCATTTTAATTGTAACCAGTGCTGGATTTCAGTGTTGAACAATTAATGATCATTACACCACTTTAAAATATCAGTGGGAGAGTGTCAAAGAAGATGAGTCTTCCATGTTTACAAAAGATTTTTCCTGTGGCACACTGTGTGCCTTTGTGAGTCATTTATCTTGTAGCTTAAACCTGTCATGCTATGAAATATTGCAACTGTGATTCTTCATGACAGAATAATGAAACACTGGAAAAAAGTCCACTCTGAAATGACTTTTCCACAGAATTTTTGACATGAGAACCTGGGAAGCTGCAGATGAAATAGCTTTTCTTTTCACTCCATCAAAAACTAATCCAGGCCAATGAGTTCCCTTCTACACACTAAATATGCTATTCCATTGTTTGTGGGTTTTTTCCTATATTGACCTGGTTTTAGCTTTTTCTTTTCCCCCCAAATTGTTCTTTGTTACTCATGTAACAAAGTATCTCATGTACTATATTGGATGCCAAAATAGTTCCTGAAGAGCTTCCATTCAGCAAATATTTGATTGCTATATTTCATACTGAAGGTTTGAGCAATAGAGAAGATTATGGAAGATTTTTTGCTGTTTCCTTTAGGAAAATTACTTTATCTTATGTCAGCAGTTTTGCTGGAGTACCCCTTCATTCTCAAAAAACGTGGTTTGACTTTTTGTTGTGAATAATCTCTGACAAATCTACACATTGTGATGTATACTAGTAGGTGAGTTGAAGATGTTACGCGGTGTCTTTTTCCACAGCATTTTTTGGTGACCATCTTGTCAGTGAGAGATCCCTACATATCAAGAATTGCAAGTGAAAACTCTTTTCCTAATGCAATGTCTTCTATCAGGAGCCAAAACAACAGAATTATAGGTAATTATTTTAAAATTTCAGATTGAGACAAATAATTATATTGAATGCAAAAAAAATTTCATTTAAATCAATTGCCAAAATGACTTTGACTTTCTCAATGGTTGTTACTGGAATAATTCCAGTGATGATAGATTAGAGAAAGATCATAGATCGAAAGAAATATTAACCCCTACACCACTGTACAATTCAAAGAAAGATTTGTATTTTAAAATTTGAGCTTTTGGGTGCAAGGAATACTACTTCTGATTACTGTGGAAGTATCACTGGAAAAACAGCATCTAAAATGGAAATATTTATTTTGGTACTTGTTTCAATGCATCATGTCATTCTCATTTTTGTCTGGCAGGTATTTTTTTACCTTTCTCCTTCAACACACAGGTATTTTTGTTTTCTGTATGCACAAAAGTGGATGAAAAAAATTATATATTCTACACGTACCTGAACTAATTGTCAAAATACACTATTTAAATACAAGAAAAAGAGTAAAGGTCTATCCCGAGATAGGGCAGACAGTCTATCATAATCATATTTCAGAATATGTCATTGAATTCTTTTATATTTTGATGGAAGTGGGAGGACATAAACTTTCCAGTTTATCTAAAACAAATTAGTTATATCAAAAGCACATGTTTCTAACAGCTAGAAATAAATCAAGAATTGTACAAATGTGTTTAATTTTTTCTTAATATTCTGGAGGAATAAGGATAGATTGCCATGACTTAGAAGACAGTACTTTTAAAAATTTATTTATTTTGTAGTAGCCTATGCACCTCTACGTTATCCATAAGAAAAAAATGATGTTCAGTATGTGGCATACTGCTTACCAAGAAGCCAAAGTGAACAACCATCAACTGTTATCCTAAGCATTGTTTCATAATAAAGTGAGATAAAATAATTCATAAATCCAGAGAGATACAACAGTGCTGTATAAGTCCTGTCTTTGTGTGGGACAGAAGACATAGTTAAAATTTAGTCTAGTCAGCAGAAGAAAATGTTACTGGGGGAGTAAACTTTTGATGGAAGACCTGGTAATCTACAAAAACCAGGCAGACACATGCTGCTCTAATTTCATTTGTCAGTAAAGAGAAATTCAAAAGATAATGATAAATACAAGCATTTAGAGGAAATAGTGCACTATAAAAATGATAAAAGTGTTAACAGAAGTATCAGTTTAAAACAGCTTTTTCTCATTAATATTTTTTATGTAAAAGCAACCATACAAATCATCCAGAATGTATTCAAGCAACAAAAAGATAGGAATGAGACCAAACCTACTTACCAAATTCCTTAGGAACAGTGATAGAGTAAACACAGTTGTGACCAACACTATAATTCTTGGGGTAGTTTGGTGATAATACAGTCCCTTCAGAGCCTGTTGACCGGCTTCCACAGGGTGCTGGAAAGTGAAGGAAATCAGTTTTTAATAATGTAATATTATAAATATGAAAAAATCAGTTTAAATTGATTTTTTGTGTGTTGGTATATGATGTTGCAGGAAATTTTATGACACTTCTGCACTGGATTAAATTTTTGCATCCTGTGACATACTGAGAATGTGCAACTTTCTCATATATAAAAAAAGAATTGATGGCACTCTGAAGTTTTCCAGATCAATTTTTTTTCTTTACTATTTATCAACCATCTTAATAAATAAATTATGTGCTTTATACACAGTATGCTATTATTTACAGCATACAAAACTATTATTCATTCATATGATGCTTTATACTATAATAAAACATAGATTATGCAGCCTTTCTGCACACTGGTAAATTCTTACTCATGCCAATAGACTCATAATTCAAAATAATATCTACAACTACTGAAATAGGAAAGTCAGGATTTCTTGACTGACCATGATGTACCACTTATTTATATCCCAATTACTTATAACTATATATATAATGTTATGAGCACACACTTTTCTTTATCACACAAACATCATGTTTATTCTACCATTAACAGCTATAATACTTGATAAAATGGCAGATAAATGACGATGTTATTTACCACAATAATGTACTTTTCTAAGGTTTACAACAAAACTTAATATTTGTCATTATTCAAAACTGTCAAAGCAGAAACAGTGTTATTTCTTCTTTTTCTTCATCAGATATCCGGGTGATTATTCAATGTTAGTGCTTTCCTATGTCTATGACCTGCTTCTCACACACACATAGTGATTTAGGAGTTTGTTGTCTAGACTGTGGCATATCTTTGGAATATTTTTCTAACTGTTTTGGAATATAAAACATTTTTTAGTTAGTTTAGTGTTAACTTATCTATTTAACAAATTTATTTCCTGTTGAGACATGAATTTATAAATAAAGTAGCACTCAATGTTTCATTTGCTAAACAAATCTGGGATTTTTTTGCAGTATTCTCTCAAAACATTAATATGTTGTGCATTATATTAAATAAGAAAAAGGTGGTTTTCTTACTATTATTGCATAAGATTTTATCTCATTACTCGTCATCCTAAATACAAGATATTTCTTAGTGTAGCTACATATCATGTGTTTTAAGACCACTTAATTCACAGAAAATGTTTGGTGGAGTATACCATGAAAAGAGCACATCTTTAAAACGTAGCAACTTAAGGCCCCATCACTGTGAGAATGGATTTCTGCAATCTACATTAACATGGATTCCTTTCAGTATGGTGTAGCTGCAGAGTCTGACAGACCGTACCTGAAACAGGAGCAGATGGCACCTATTGCTCTGGTCTGCATACACAATTTGGAAACGATTTAATGGGCTAGTGTGAAAGTCATGATATTTGAAATATGTCAACAGAAGGGTCTTGACTTTTGCTTGCACAGGTGTGTATAGATGTGGCACATATATTAGAGTTAAGCAAATCAGTCAGGGCCCAGAGCAGGACACAGTGCTCAGTATGGTGGATAGGCACACTCCAAGACACGAGTGAGCACCAAGACTATCCTATTCACACAGAATATAGTTCTGAGGCTAAAAGAATTATCTCAGCATCTTCCCTCAGTCCACCATCATGTAAAATATCAGAAATTCATGCTTTCCTTTGAAAACATGTTAAGATAATGGAACTAATGGATTTTTTGCTAAAAAGTAGTAAGAATCTTAGCTGACCCTCATATGCAGAGACTTATTTGCCTTGAGTTACTGGAAAAACACAAAGTAGAAAATCTTCACTACTTGAGTGTGGCAGGTAGTTCTGATGATATCAGATCTGCTTACCATCTTCTAAGTACTCAAGATTTTCTATTCCAGATTTTGGATAAAACAGAAGAAAATATGAAAGAATATAAGCAACAAAAGCATTAAAATAAGTGAAATAAGACTGTCAGAAAAGCTTATTACTTATCTCTAACTCCATTTCCTTACTGTTTATGAGTTGCATAAATAAGCCATTGCAACAAAGACCAATAACACTGTCCCATTTCAGCAGTCATATCACTATTATACTTTCCTAATCCACAGATATAAATAATGTGTAAATTTAAGGTCAAACTATGATTCCACTAAAGTCAAGGCTATGAAAACAAAAAGGGACAGAATTTCACCTTTAATGAAACTTGAAGTCATGTCACACAAAACCAATACTTAAAGTTAATAGCTATGTATTTAGTTCTCAAAATATAGCAGACCTTCCTTTAAAGAAAAATAAAGATTTTTTTATACCCTGATTCTTTCTTATTCTTACAAGCTATGAAATTAATAAAGGTATCTTCTTAATTGTAAAAGAGGGTTTTTACAAAACTATTAGTATGCTTAAACCAGAGCAAAATATATTTACCTATCTATATATCTAGCCAAAATATTTCATGATACTTGAAAGGTGATATTATCACAGCTGGTATAAACTAAAAATCACAGAAATAATTTCACTGACAGATGTATATAGATCTCTAAAAGGGATTAAACCCAACAATTTTTACAAATAAAAAAAAACAACAAACCAACCAAACAAAAAACCCCCAAACAAACAAACAAACACTAAAAAACCGCAAAACCCAAGCCAAACAAAACCAAACAAAAACCCCCCAAAAAACAAACCAACAACCCACAAAATAAGATCTAGCACCTTTAAAAATCTGAGAGTTCTCATTTATATTGAAGTCTGGTAAAAATAACTTAAGAATCTCTAAAAGGTGAAGATAATACCATTTCATTTTACAGTTGATAATAATTAAAATGTTTATATGACACATTCAAACATCTAAACGTTTTCCCCACACACTGAATTCCATGAAAGAAACATACATCTGCACTGGATTTATAGTGGGCACATATCCGTTCATACAAGTGAATCTGGCACAGAGCTGTTCACACAAGAGAAGAGATGAAGTGCAAGTCTGGAAGCAGGATTTCCAGCAGGGATCTTTCAGGTACAAAGACTCTCAACAAGAGGTGTCTGCAGCCTTTGCTACAATGTGCTCAGTACAGACTGGAGTAAGGTATGAACTATTTGTCACTCTGACATATGCAACATTTAGTTTGCAGCAAGAACAAAATACCTATATTGAGTATTTCATAGTAATTTCTTATTTAGTCTTCTCTTTCTGGACTTTTTCCCTCTGGCCCTTCTGAGTTTACTTTTCCCCTTACTGTCTTATTTTCCAACTGCTTCAGTAATGGCTCTTTACCTTCACAAGAATTCACATTCCTGGGTCTCAAAAACAACTAGTATAAAGGAAAGTTGCTTCAAGATGTAAGCACTCAGTTGACCTTTGCAAACTGAGAAAATGTTTAATCTTAAATCATTAGGTGGTAAACCATTAAGTTCTCATAGCAACCAGACTGGCCTGCAAGACATTTCTAAAAGTATTTGTGGGAAGGAAGAGGTTTGCTTGATATTTTAGTAAACTCATAGATTTCACTGACTATATTTCCTTTCTTACCTTTTGGGAAATGTTTAATTTAAAATCCAGAAGTTTCAAGAAGAGGTGATTCTACTCTTACGGTCACTAAACATTAATGCTCAGAAATCAAAGATGAACATGAAACCATAGCTACAGTGAATTGAAAATCTTAACCTAATATGAAAATAAAATATACTTTTGCCTCTGAAAAACACCTAGCATCAGGTTGTAGTTGTTTGGATGGATGAAAAAGTTCCACTACCACCATGCTATCCATTGACTTTCACTTACTCTTATTGGAGCTAAGTAGACCCCATTGCCTTCGCTTCAGTTTTATAGTGCAGTGATTTATTTAGTTTCCTAAAAAAGTAAAAAACTATAAGTTCTGAAAATCAACTTGTCTAATTATTATGCTAGCATTGAAAAGTCTACCTACAGTAAAAAGCCTAGCAAACCCATCACACCCACAAATATAAACTGTTATACAAAAACAAACTAATAGACAAACAAAAGCAAAAATTGTTGAGAACCATTTCTCCGGGAATGAAAAATATCCTGCAGAATAAAACAAACCAACCAACCAGCATAAAAAAAAAGTTCAGGAGTCAAATTATATTTTCTAATGTAATTCTACAATAATATTTCAGTATTTTTTAATAATGTTTGCTTAGACACTGAAATACTGTATCACTTTATGTATTTATTTATGCTCTAGCTTATTCCAGTTTATTCACAAAAATGTTACCCAGTATGCTGTCCTTATCCTGCCTTCCAGGGTCAGCAATGGAACAGTAGGGGAAAAAGGGACTTGGCTCTGGTAAGAAGTGATAAGAATCAGTGTGTTGATGCATTGCTCACTGTTTCCTTGAAACATTATTAGCATTAATGGCAAAAAGTTCCTCTGTCTGCTGAACTTTAATGGTACCTTGCCTTGTAAAATAGCATCCTCTGCAACTTTTGAAAAAGCCCTATCACAACAACAACAAAGTATCACCCATTCTGTATCTAAATTGGCAAGCTTTTTTATCTGGAAGATTACCTACCTTGATCATTAGTATTCATGCGCCTTTGTCAAAGAACTAAACTCTACCCCTTCATGGCAATGCATTAGTAAATGGAGAATACAATATAAAATGCATTACCATCATCAGTCAAATCTTTTATCAAATTTCAGCACTAGTTGTAAAAGAAATGTAGGTGAAAACTACAGAGGCAAAATCGCCCAGCCGAACAACAGATCCTTATAATCTATGCTTAACTAGGTACTATAAAGTAAAATTTTCTGCACCTCCAGTAAAACAATATTGGATTAAAAGCCCCTGTTATGTGCTTATTGCTCATGTTTTCCATTGTGCCTTTGCAGTTTAACCAAATAAAAGAACACCAAAGGCAAAACTTCAGTAAAAGAAGTGTGAAGAATGGACTACATAAGTATGAGAATCCATCTCAAATATCTTCAGCTTTTAAGGAAATTAATATTTTTGCTATGAAATTTTTTTCTGCAGCTTGAAGTTTTTAATTCTTACTGCTGCTTTCAGATCACCTACTTTTGAGC